AGGAACTGAACCTGGGCTGTCAAAGCAAAGTGCACCAAACTTTAACAAGTAGGCCATCAGGGTTGGCTCATAAAGTCTTTCTTTTGACCTGAAAATAAAGTTGAGAATTCCAGTGGGCCCCTGGAGACTTATCAAAGAATTTGTACTCTCTTCCTATAAAGAGGGAGATATTAAATCAATTAGGCTTATTTAGTATTTTAAACTGCATGGGAAGCATTGTCAAACAAATGTTGATAGACCTTCTTAGGTTACATTGCTTGGGTGAGTGACATTAATATACAGGTTTTAAAAATTATATAACATTCGTAAAACTCTGATCTGTCCTGGTTATCAGTCATAATTCTAGTTATCTTAAAATGTTATATGTCACAGAAATAAATAAATTTGTCAATTGCATTATAATGAACCATTTTTAAGTGTTTTGTAATTTATAGATATTACTATTTTACTCTGATGATTTTACAAATATGTTTCATCTTCAGAGTGATTCATGGAAGGACTCTGACACTTACTCTAGAATACAGGCTGCTGATAAACTTTGATATCATAAAACTGAACTGGGTAAGAAACTGCAGAACTCTAAAGGAGAAACGGATGGCTTCATAAAACTGCTAACAAAAGATCAAGATCAAAAATTGATTACATGGGACTGAATGAATTGATGAGGATGATTATAATTTTTGACTTTTGTTTGAAATATTACTGATTTTTAATCATTTGCTTTTCCAGATTTAAGGAAAGCTTTTTCTCTTGTCTCTTAAGCTAACTATGACTTACAGCAATTTGGTAAATTACTCATTTGTAGGCAGAATTAGAACATTTATCTTTTTCTCACTATCTGACCCCTCCAGAATTTGGAAACTTGATGAGTGAGTATTCTTTTTTTCATGGCAATTTAATTATTTGTACGAGTTCAATAAGAATCTCTTCTCCTCATAACAGGACACATATGGAAACATTGTTTATACTACCAAGGCTTTGACTGGAATATCATATTTGAGAGAGGTATGCATAGACTAAGATATGACCAGATAGCTTTAGGAAACAAAGCTCGACTTTATGGAACAAATAAGACCCCTTGGAAATATTGGCCTGATACTTGACTACAGGGTTACCAGCAACCTTACCGGGTGAGTAAATAAGATCACTTCCTGTTGTGTGTCAGAACCTGTTGTGTGTGGTGACGTTGGGCATTTTAGCAACTTACTCAGTTTTCCTGGGTTTCTCCCACATGTACATGCTATTAAAATTGTTTGGTTTTCTTCTGTTATTCTGTCTCATGCCAATGTAATTCTTGGACCAGTAAGAAGAACCTAGAATATTAGAGGAACATTTCTTCATACAGTATTTTCTATTTCAGTCTGAGACTCAGAGTTTGCAAGCAAGGAGAGGTATCAGAGTCTGGGTAAGCGATAACATCAGGAAAGGAAATCTTAAGGGTTCGAACTTGGTCCAATGCCAAAGCCATACAGGAAAAAGGAATAATTCTGAGGCTTGAGCTGAGCTAGTAGAGAGAGATGGGATCCTACATCTGACACCAATCCCTGTTGCCTCCTAACGCAATTTAGTGTAATCCTCGCTGAGGGTGATTGTTGGTGTTTAAACCAAACGATAATGAAGCCTGGTTTTTAATGTGCTTAAGGACTGTCACACTGAAGTCAATCAGCCTGCCCTACAGGAATCATAAACTACATTTTCAGGATTAGTAGTGGTATGACTATAATACTATGGTTGTAATAAACCCTGGGACACATCCACAGGAATCATGTAGCCCTGTGTAGAAATAATTTATCTAAATGGCAACTGCTGGAATAGAAATGTTTTCTCTAATTCCAAGCTATGAAGTGCTTAATGGAGATAGTAATTAGTCACTACTGGAAAGATCCATGTTCTGTTGATTTTGGTGAGACTGTTTTCCACCTTTGTTAGGAAAGCAGCATTTAAGGAAATAGTAACATTACAAACTGTGTTTCAGTAGCTGCTGTCCAACACAAAAGTATCTTGTGACATATTCTCTGGTTAAATGTATTTTCAGATCAATTCCAACAATTTCATTTCACAAAACGTACAATTTTCAAATCCTAAAGATTCCTTCGTATATATATGACATTTTAATATCTTTCACAAATCTTATTCCTATTGATAATGCCTTTTCTTAAGACTTGTATTAACAAAAGATTATTTTATGATTTGTAATTAGTAACATTTAGTTACTACTCTACACTTCTTTATTACATATTGGTGTTTCACATCCCACCATTTAGAGCTTGACATACGGTTCAGTGATTCCCCTGACAGGTAATATTTTGTTCCTAGAATCAAAGTAAATTCATGTTTCTGATGCCATTAATATAGAGCCAATTGTATATTTGTTAAATACAGTTTTTCATGGAGCCGATCTCTGTAGAATTATATAAAATCAGTGCATCTACATTTTATTACACTAAATCTTTACTCATAATTGGTGTTGTGCTTTGCAAAAATCCTTACACATAAATGGAAACTTGTTACAAACAATATTATAACATAAAATATCACAAATCTAAAATGAAATAACAAGGTAGGAAAAAAAGTAAATACACTTCTGTATTATTCGAAGAACACAGCTAACGAGCATTGTTAGAATGCCATAGTATATAAACTCACCATCTTTATACCAGCCCAGCCAGGTTCAAAATCCACCTTATCCATAAAAAAGGTTTGAATTTGGACAAATAATTAACCTTTGTCTGCTTCACTGCGCCTTATCTTTTCAATGAAAATAAAGTACTGACTATCTCATGAAGTTATGAAGAACGTGGGCTGTACTACACATCCAGCCTCTATAGCGGTGAAACATAGTGTGCAAGAGTGCTTTAAAGGTTATACATCCAACTCTTAGAAACATGTAAATAATAATTAAAAAAAAACTTTAAGTTAATATTTCTAAGTGGGAACTAAAGGAAGTGGAGATATTGGATTTCAGTTGTAGCTTATGCCTCATTTTCCCATGCAGGAATCTCTGGCTCAGAAGAAGGATGTCAATCACTGGGAAATGACAGAATGGCCTCCAGCAATCTGGCAATAGGAATGTTCTTTGCATTACAGACTATAGTTGGATTTCTGGGGAATTTCTCTTTTCTTTACCACTATTTTTTCCTTTACTACACAGGATGCAAATTTAGGTCCACAGATTTGATTCTCAAGCCCCTGACTGTAGCCAATCTCTTGGTTATTTTATCTAAAGGAGTCGCCCAAACAATGGCAGCTTTGGGGTTAAAAGATTTCCTCAATGATTTGGGATGCAAATTTCTTTTCTATCTTCATAAAGTGGGCAAGGATGTGTCCCTTTGCACCACCTGCCTCTTGAGTGTCTTCCAGGCCATCATAATCAGTCCCAGGAACTCCAGGTGGGCAGAACTTAAAGCAAAAGCTTCCAAGCACATGGGCACCTACAACACCCTCTGCTGGATCCTGAACTTGATATTTAATATTACAATTCCTGTGCATGTAGCTGACAAATGTAGCGACAAAAATACCACAAGAAAACAAGATTTCGGCTACTGTTGTGCTATCGTTCAGGACAAAATCAAGCATTTATTGTATGTACTACTGTTATTATTCCGTGATGTTTTATGTCTGGGGCTCACGCTCTGGGCCAGCAGCTCCATGGTTTTCATTCTGTCCAGGCACAGGCAGCGGGTCAAACATTCACAGGACCAGTTCTTCCTCCAGACTCTCTCCCGAGTCCACAGCGACCCAAAGCATCCTTGTCCTGGTATGTACCTTTGCATCTTTGTACACTCTGTTCTCCATCCTTCACATTTGTTTGGCTGTTCACAACAAGCCTGGTTTGTGGCTATTGAACACCTCTACACTAATTGCTGGGGGTTTCCCAACTGTCAGTCCCTACATTCTCATGAGTCATGACTCCAGAGTATCCACCTTCTGTTTTGTTTGGATAAGGACTACAAAAGCCCTTAAACTTGTAAGAAATATATAAATCGTATGTTAGATCAACTCGAAATATCTTGGGAGTAGTACACTTTTTACAATCCCCATTATTCAAACTTGACCCAAAACATTCAGAAATAGAAAATAAAAACAAACATCAAAAGATGTAATTTATATAATTTAACGTTCAAATTAAAAATACTTTTCCAAATAACTGAGAATAAAGAAAATTATGAAATTAATACCAGATGTCATGCAGTATCTCTCAAAGGTACTCGAATTTATACTTCATCTTCAGAAGTGTGGACTAGAACAAACTAAATTCAGAGAAAGAAAAATGAATTTATAGCTACACAAACAGAAAATCTGGTTCTTTCAAACCAAGGTCTCAGCCTTCCACCACCATAGTCCCTGGAACTCAGCCCAGGGTTGAGCCCTGCTCCAGGATGAATTGGGGACAGAAATGGAAATTATGTTGTAAAGGGAGTCTGTGTAAAATTGCACATTCCTCACAGCAGGTAGTTTTGCATTTCACGTTTTAGTTTCCATCACTTACAGAGACAAGTCCAGCTGTTGCTTAATTAAATAAGTTCTAATTCTCTGAAGCCTCAGACTTGCGGGATCCACCCACCACCCCACATGCCACCCCCCCAGACCCCCGAGGCTGCCTCGAGCAGCCTCACTCGCGCAGGACATGCGTCTCCATCCTTTCGCAAAAAGAGCTTTGATTTATACCATTTTGGGTAGGTAAGAGGAAACAGTGCTTCCGATATTTAGTGGCCCGCACGTGTCTAATCTTTTACGTAACCCTGCCCCACTGGACACTAAAGAGATTCCAAAACCTCCAAAGGCCGAGCCCCAGAAACTGCTGCGCCCGGACACTAACAGACCTGGAAACCCAGACAGTCAGGTCGCAGGACCAGGCCCCGCCCCTCTGGGCCCCGCCCCCAAGTCGACTCCCTCCCTGCGCGCTTCCTGCCCAGTGCGTGCTGCGGGAACCGTCCCGCCCCACTGTGGCCCCGCCCACTCCCGCCCACTGCGCACGCGCACGCGCACGCGCACGCCCCTGCTTAACTGAAACCGAGCGAGGCGCGCAATCCGGTGAACGAGTTCGTTTTCGCTTCAGACGTGCCCTTTGCTGCTTCCCCCAGCCCCCGCGTACGTTCAAACAAACCCCTTCGTACCCCTCGTCCCTGGCCCGGTAAGTCCCGGCAGCACCGCGAGGCGTAGTGGCTCTGGTCGCTCGCCGTGTGTCCGCGACTGTTTCAGGTTAAAAGCCTCTGAGGCGGGCACCCGACCCCCTCCTTTTGGCTTTTGTTCCGGGCAGACGCCGCCTGCCGCGTCGTTTTCCTGATCAAAACCCTTCGGTGCCGCCAGTCCCCCTCCGCCTCAGCTCCCCCCACCCCCTTCACCCCCCGCGTTGGGTAAAGTCCTCAGGCGCGAATTGGGTTCCGGTCTTGGGGGCGCCTTTCCCGCTGCCTCCAGCCTGGCTTCCTGGAGTGCAGAGATGGCTCTGGCTGTCCTTGAGGTGCCGGCCCTGATATCACTTCCCCTCCATTAAACCCAGCATGTGTGCGGTTAAAACCAGAGCACTCTTTGCCTGCTTGCTCCCTGGCTCCAGAGTCCGCTATATGCCACGGAGATAGTGGGCCAAGGGTACCCACCTGCGTTCCTTATCTCCTCTTCCCTGCAAACCGGCCCAAGGCTGACCGGGGGCTGGTGGGAAAGCTCCGACCAGCAAGGTCACTGACAGACCCTCCTACCCCCCCCCCCCCCCCCATCTACAAGGAGCCACATTCCTCACAAACTTTTAAAACCCCTGCCTCCCCTCTTTCGGGGAGACGAGATGAAAGGAGACAAATTTGAGGGCTTGGACTCCCAGGGCAGGCTGGGTGGGGGACAGAAACGGACAGACTGAGGTGGAACTAAAAAGACTGTGAAGAAGGACAAAATGAGGGCAGAATAGGAGATAGAACAGGTGGACTTTGAGAAACAGTAGGGTGAAAGAGTGAACCAGTGAAAGAAGGACAGAAGAAAATAGAGAAAAAGAGGGATCTCTGGAGATGAAGGGGAATGAAATAGAGAATGGGGTATCTTCACCAGCAGCAGAAGTCAGTCGGCAAAGGTGGGAACATCAGACTGAGTGACGGGAGTAAGAGTTGGGGCCATAGAAGCAGGGACCTGCTGGAACGTTGAAAGGGGCTGAAGTTTCTGCACCTGGTTTCCAATGTGGGCGGGGCTCCTGTACCACCAAGCAATTCTCCAGACTCAGCTGGGGGTCCTACAATTTAACTCAATTCTGACAGCATCTACCTGGAGATGGTGTCAGATCCCACAGGTTTAGGGCTCAGTCCCACAAGACTCCCCTCCCCCCAGACTCCAGTAGGAAGTCCAGGTTGTCACCTGTGTTTCTGACTGACGGGCTGTAGATTGGAGGTTCCAAAGAACCCACTTCCTAGGATTTGGTTAATTTGCTAGAGTGGCTCACAGAACTAAGAGAAATGCTTGAGTTACTAGATGACCGGTTTATTATGAAACGATATAACGCAGGAACAGCCAGATGGAAGAGATACATAGGGCAAGGTATGGGGAAGGAGCATGGAGCTTCCATGCTGTTTGAGCATGCCACTCCCTGAGTCTCCATGTGCTCAGTAACCCAGAAGCCCTCTGAACCCCGTCCTTTTGCGTTTTTATGGAGGTTTCCCTACATAGGCAGGATTGATGAAATCATTGGCCATTGGTGATTGGTGCGAGTAATCATTGCAGTCAGGTAGGTGACCTTGAGGGAGAAAAGTTGTTTTGTGTGTTACAGCCTCTCGTCTGTTTTCTCCCTCAACTTTGCCAGGATCCCCTGTGTAGTTCAGATACACACTTCTGCTATTCTTCTATCAGTTTGCACAATCTCAAGACACAATCAAGTCATAATATGAGACTTTGAACATTTAAGCCAAATGTCATTGCAAAGTCGGAAATCTTAGAAACCAGGAACGTTTCTGAACAGCCAGGGGGGCTCTCCTCCTGCTGAATTTAGGCTCTTTTATTGCCAGAGTGTGTCTGCTCAGCCTCAGGCAGCTACTCCAGAGGATTAGCTCGCCAGGATTCTGGTTGGTCAACTTGCCCAGGCTTAGTCTTTGGACCTCTTCTCTTGCTACTCCACCATCTTTCCATATCAACTCATCTCATTGCTGTCAACACCTTGAGGTCTCTCAATTTCACGTCTCCAGCCCAGACCTCTCCTCTGAACTTCAGGCTCCTGCGTCCAGCTGTCTCCTCGACATCTCTGGTGGGACATCTAACAGGCATGTCCACCTTAAGATGTCCAAAGATGATCTCCTGGACGTCCCCAAATGTGTTCTCCTGCAGTCCTCCACATCTCAAGTAAGGGCAACCCTGTGCTTCCTATGACTTAGGTGAATATCTTGGTATGTTTTTAAAACATGCGTTATACTATATTATTTGTAAGTGTATTAATATCAAAATAATGGGGAAATTAGATGTTAACTTACAGTGAGGGAGGAAACACTCCTTCCAGAATTCTTTGGGGGCACGGGAGAAAAATGTTAGAAGACCACATCTTTCGCAATCTGCTTTCCCTAGTGCCTTTCTGACCTCGTCTCCTAGTTGTCTCCCCTTTGCTCATTTGGCTCCAGCCACACAGAACCCTTTGTCCTTGTTGTGGCCAAGGACACCACTGCCTCAGGCCTTTGCATGTGCTGTGTCTTTGCCTGGAAGTTTCTGGCCACTCAGATGCAGGTGGCAAACACCCTCCCCCAGATCCTTGTTCTCATATCACCTTCTCAGTGGCGCCCTCTCTCACCTCCTCCCCTTTAACAGGCCAGCCACACCCTCACCCCCACTGCTGCTCCATATTGCCTGCTCTGCATGTTTTGTTCTGCTGCTTTCCCTCCTACTGTCTGGATACTGATGACAACAAGGTCGCAGGTGGTGAGAAGAGCCAGAGTAGGGGAGGTGTGCTGGGCTTGCCTCTGAGTGGTGCTCAATCCTGACCTCAGGTTAGATTGCTGAGTCATTTTGCAAATACATCCCTTGTGGCCGCTTACCAGAGATTTCCATTCAAATAGTCTGGCAGGGCCCCCCCTCAATATTTGAAGTGTCTGAGTTGATTCCAGTCTTTATTCAGCACTGAAAACTAAGGCTGTGAGTCCTCCATTTCTGAAGGCTGGCCCCGATCCAGGGGGAGGTGGGGGCCTCTGCTCTCTATGGGGTTTGATCAGGGCCAGGTCTGTGACTTGAAGGGGAGGGTCAGTCCAGCCCAGATCCCCACTGCTGCAGTGTATGTGAGGGCTTTACTAGGAAGGGAGTGAGTTCTGAAGCAAGTGGTGGAAAAACTCACTTGTTGGTCTCTGTAGGAGTTTGCCATCGCTGAATCCCTCCTGTGGCAGTGGGCAGCGAGGACCGTCTATTCTACGTGGCAAGGTCTTCCCTGCACGTGTGATTGTGGCACAGGAAGGGTTATGTTGATTCTAAGCATTAAACAGCGTATTTTCAACACTCAGCTTTGACTTCTCAAGACTCCACTTGCCTGAGAAAGAAGCTCAGATGAAGAGGAAAGAAAAGGAATCAGGAATGGCACTTTCTCAGGTGAAAATCCTACTCTTGGTTGATTATTCTTTCTCTCCTTCTTAAATGCCCTTCTTTGGACTTCCCAATCTTCTCTGACTCTGAGGTATCCTCCCTGACACCTGTTTTCTCACACTCACCCAGGGCCTTCCCTCAGTCCCTCTCATCTCCACTTAGATTCCATCTCACCACGACCCAGTGACATGGAACTTGTGGGGAGGCGCCACAGGGCATGGTCCTGAGCAGGGCTTCATATCCCTGGATTGGAGACAGGGTGTCTGTGAGGTTGGGCAGCAGGGATTGTTTAGGGCTGTGTCTGGATTCCCTGACAGCTCTCTCTAGACCAGGATAGAAGAAACTGCATAGTTATGTGCTGCATTAATTGTAAGAACAGCTGGAAGATTCTGGAAAAGAAGAGTAATAAGGAGAACCTGTTCTGCCTGACTTTACAATACATTCTAAACAAGCGAATCAGTGTAGTTCTGGCTCCATAGCATTCGTCATTTGGAATAGCTTAGAAAGTTCAGAAACAGACATCAGTGACAAAAGATGTTTTACTCCATAATTGGTTTTAAATATGGAATCCACTTAAACATGTAGCAGGACATTTTTTTAAATCAGTCTCAGCACATCCATCCCGTGGAGACTTTGGTGTTTCGGCAGGGACTCTAATTCAGTAGATGTTTTAGGTAAAACAGTGATAATTCAGCTACGATGGTGGGTGATAGATATGGCTTTATCTTGGTCATCAGAGAGGCTGGAGCCAAATTCCACTTCCACCATTATCATTAGACATTGCGTCTCTTTTATTTTAAACATCATTTGCTGTACATATTTGTTTTGTGATCAAACTCCAAACTAGAATGCAGCTCAGGGACTAAGAATTAAAACATCCCCTTCCTTGTCATGTGCTCTGCCATCCTCATGACTCCATCAGAACCCTTGTCATCAGTTCTGTGGCAAGAGTCAGCACAAATCTTGTAAAAATGCATTTATATGCCATTATGAGATTTTAGAAAAAATTCTTCAGTGAATGATTCATTGTGATATTTTAGTCTGCAGATTTAAAAATTTACACAGCATATGTCTAAAAGTTGTTTTCATGTTAGTGAAAACAGATACAGCTTGCTCTTTACACCCTCATTGGAGCATTCTCTAAATGAGGGCACATGGGACCTTTAGAATTTTTTTGCTGACAAAAAGAATGCCACAGTGGCTGCCTGTGGGCAGGCTGACTTCACTGCAGGTGTCTGAGGATTTCTCTGGGTTGCACAACTTGATGTCTGATTACTGGGTCAAGGATGGTACATTTCATATTTTGATAGATTCTGACCAGATGCCCTCCCCTAAAGCTGCACAGGTACCCTATCCCACCAACACAACCCGAGGTTTCCCCCAATATAAGCAAAAACAGGTACTGTAATCATCTGTATTTTGAAAATCTAGGGAAAGTGGCAATCCTTTATTTGTGTTTCCATTTCCCAAGACATCACTCATGCTCTGGCTCATCTAGAAATTGAATATCACTTTGTGTGTAGAATGTAGTATCTAGTACTTATGTATAGACCATCCTGCGTTGTTTTTTTCATTTATATATTTGTTTTATCATCCGCAAAAATATGAAATCACAGTGGTTTAGTGGATTTCATGTCCTCTGAGGGAAAAGTGTAATAAAGTTAGAGATATGTAAACTGCTCACACTTATCACAGTTACGTGCATCTGTGGAAACACTTGCTTCAGTCTGACGGACAGTCGATACTTCTCTCATTTTGTGTGAAGATAAGAGCTCCTCTTGTGATCGCTTGGTGAAATATGTTTTTCCTTTCAGGGACAGTTGACATTCAGAGATGTGGCCATCGAGTTCTCTCAGGAGGAGTGGGAATGCCTGGACCCCGCTCAGAGGGCCTTGTACAGGGACGTGATGCTGGAGAACCTCAGGAACCTGCTCTCCCTGGGTGAGGAGAGCTGCCTCCAGAAGTCAGGATCTGCCCTAGTGAGTCTCTTGGGAGCCTCTGCCTTGCTTAACTGAGATTGAAGCTGTGTTGACTCTGAAATGAAAAGCTTCCTAATGTGGCATCTAGACTTTCACCTTCCCTTTTCTTTGGATGATCTGCCCACTCCACACTAGATTAGTGGTGGTTCCAGAAGTTGAGTAAGAGCAAAACCTTATAGCAAACTTTTAAAATATCTGATTGCCTGAGGGACTGGCCTGGTGGCATAGTGGTTAAGTTAGCGCACTCCGCTCTGGTGGCCCGGGGTTCCCAGGTGTGGACCTACACACCGCTCATCAAGCCATGCTGTGGCAGCATCCCGCAGACAAAATAGGAGGAAGATTGGCACAGGTGTTAGCTTAGCAACAATCTTCCTCAAGCAAAAAGAGGAAGATTGGCAACAGATGTTAGCTCAGGGCCAATCTTCCTCATCAAAAAAATATCTGATTGCCTGGTTTTACCCTTAGGCTTTTGATTCAGTAGTTCTTGGGAAAGAGCTAGATATCTGTATTTTCAGTATTCCGTAAGCATTCTGAGGGAGACAGTCAGTGGACAAATTTGTGAAATATTTTTCTAGACCCTTCTGTAATGTTCTCTCTTCTCAGCTGAATAAAGGACTGGGATGGTATTCTGGAAAAACCACAGCACATCATGTTCCTTTCTTCTTATAAGCAGGAATCTCTCTTTCTGCCCTGAATATTATCTCCATTTTGGAGCAAGGGAAAGAGACCTGGACTGTACAGAGCCAGGTGAAAATAGTAAGAAAACCAAATGGATCGGAATATGTCAAAGATGCTTAGAGAGGCAAGAGCTCACATGCACCGTGGGGAGGCTGCACCATTAAACATTGTTTGGGAAACTCTCCCCAAATGGGAGAGGTATGTGAAAAAACAAGTTTCTTTCTTGTGAACTCTCCAAGGAAATTTTTTCTTTCCCCCAGCTATCATCCTCTCACCCTCCAGTGGTGCTCTGACTCATGCAAAGACAAAGCAATGTCTTTATGACCACCGACAATGCTTAATATCTGGCCCCTGTGACCTCGTTGACATCTTGACTTTGGGCAGCATGGGTGAGCTGCTTCTAAGGGATCCTCTTTCCCCCTTGATTCCCTCTACTTACTTCTCAGTTTGTATAGATCAGAGCTAAGGCCTCCTTAAGTCCTGGTCCAGGCTCCATCACCGTTTCGTGTACTGGGGAGAACTCAGGAGAAGAAGAACATTGGCTCCTCTTCCTTTGCGTCTCGGGGCCCCGGGAATTGCGGGGACCGTCTTAGGCCCTGTGTGCCTGGTCAAGTGGCTCAGGCATTTCTTCAGTTCTGCTTGTGCCTCAGTTCAGAAATGTGTGTAACAAAGAAGTGGGGTGGATCTTCTGAGATTGCTGCTCAGCAGTACTGTAAAGACAGTGGCTGGAGAGATTGTCTCTGATCCTCAGTCCCACCTGGGGAGCATCTCTGTCTTTCAGGTGCTCGGCCTGGAGTCTGGGCAGAGCACATGGCTTCTTCTCCATAATCACACAAAGTCTCACACCCCCTACTTGACTTCCATGTCTTGTATTTTTCTCCCTCTTCCAGCTCTCTTCCTAGTTGGAATATAGAAAAACCTTGGCTCGTGTTGGTTTCATATTCTCTTACGTTTGGTGATTTTTGCCTTTTGCTTTTGAAATACTCATTCCTAGAGTCTGAAATTTCCTCCTCTTTTTCTTTTTCTGCTTTATCTTCCCCAAATGCCCCCAGTACATAGTTGTATACTCTAGTTGTGGGTCTTTCTAGTTGTGGCATGTGGGACGCCACCTCAACGTAGCCTAATGATCAGTGCTGTGTTGGCGCCCAGGATCAAACTGGCAAAACCCTGGGCTGCTGAAGCAGAGCGCACGAACTCAACCACTCAGCCCCAGGGCCAGCCCCTCCTCCTCTTTTTCTACTGCGATAACCCATCTTTAGGTGAAGGACACCTTCCAGTGGACTTTCCCATGGAGTGGGTTTACTGGGTAACAGAAAATTCTTGAACACCTTGAGTAATATGTTACAAGAAATATTATCCTGCTACATAAAACAGTGCCCCTTGAAGCACTGAGTAGAGTGGTCAGCATGTCCAAGGACATGTTTATCTCACGAGAGTATCACAAGAGCCTAGCTAATAACTATTTCCTGTTGTCTTTCTGGTTTCTGTGGAATGTCACAAAAGCATCTATCAAGGGCACCGTGACAGTTTTGACCACGTTTATTAATGGTCATCGCCTTTGTGCTGGCAACTATTGTTGGCGCCACATTGTGCATCCCCTGTGTGTGCTGCTGTTCATTCTTCAACAAACGTGATATTGATGCATCATATTGAAGGAGTTCATGAAATTGAACGACGTGCACGATGTTGAAGTCTACCTTAATTTATTTTGTTTAGGCTACTGTTGCTTTCATCTTGCACATTTCCATGTGTTAGAAATGAACTTGCTTTTTGTTTATTTAATCATTAGTTACATGTTTTTGATGACGCTCATAGGGTTCTTTGTTTTATATCTGTATTTGTGCGACTGTTGAATCAGGGAATAAATATTGTTTTATATATTATCCAGGAAGATTTACTAATTGAGTGTTGAGGGTTACAGCTCAGTACCAATTTCCCCCAAATCTGTACAAACTGTAGAATTTTGTGAAAAGATAGTCTTAATTATTCCTTTTACTTCTATTTCACCTGAGACAACTGCAGATGTCGGTTCAAAGCTCAGTGTCACCTGTGCTTCTGACTAACTGGCAGTAGATCAGAGGTTCCAACGACCCTTTCCTTGGGTTCGATCAATTTCCTGGAGCAGCTCACAGAACTGAGGGAAACACATTTACCAGTTTATTAAAGGATGTGATAAAGGATACAGTTGAACAGCCAGATGAGGAGATGCGCAGTGTGCGGAAGGGGAGCGTCCCGAGAGCAGGAGTTGCTGTCCCTGTGGAGTTGAGGTGTGTCACCCTCCCAGTGTGGATGTGTTCCCCGGCCTGGAAGCTCTCTGAACCCACTACTACAGGAATTCTATGGAGGATTCCTCATGTAACCGTGATCAATTATTATCTCCATTTCCAGCCCCTCTTCCCTCTCTGGAGGATGGGGAGTGGGGTTGAAAATGCCAAGCTTCTAATCAGGCTTGGTCTTTCTGGTGACCAGCCCCCATTCAGGAGCCCACCCAGAGTCTCCTCAGTAGAACAAAAGATGCTCCTAGTGCTCCTATCACTTAGGAAACTAAAAGGGTTTCAGGAGCTCTGTGTCAGGAATCCGGGGCAGAGAACAATATATATTTTTTCTATTATCTCATGCCACGTCTCAAACCAAAGTCAGTAAATTAACATCTCTGGGGCTAGGAACCACTTATTATAATTTTAAACCTAACCAGGTGATTCTGATGTGCAAATAGAGAACCATTCTCTTTTTGCGCTAATCACACTTCAACCTACATATGAAACACATGGAATTATTAAGAACCCAGATACTGGTCCAGTAGGCCTGGCTTGTGCCTGAGGGTTTGTATTTCTTGCAAGCTACAGGGCCCTAGATTATACTGTGTGTACCTCAGTCCTCTTAGGTAAATAAGCTTCGATGCAGAAAAATAAAGAAAATGGAACAGAAGTGATAAATGTCAAAACACCTGTAATACATGATATATTTCAGAGAGTTTTGTTAATATTGAAATAAATTAATCAAACATAATGCTGCAATGGTTTTTAATTAAAAATGTACAAGGTTAAGAGAATATTCCCCATTCCCAAGGCAAAGACAATTTCCACCAACACTCACCCTCAGTGTCAAAAATTCTAGACTCAGGATACAGACCTTTGCCACATCCATAGATGAGCCTTTTAAGTTACCCAAACTTCAGTCATTTACTCACCCACAAAGATGAATTTCAGAGTTTTCTATTGACATTATAGTATAACGTGGCTTCTTCATGTTGACTGACTTCCTTACATAATTATATCTCATTTACAAAGGAATGCGTATGACAGTTTCAGAAGCTCCATTTTAAATAAATTTACAAAATTTAAAGGTAGTGTCTGTTCATTGATCCCCAGTATTATCTGGAGTTCCAGCATTTGCACAGGCCCCACCTGGGGAAGCTCTGATTCACCAGACACAGCTGCTCTTGCCTCTTTCCCCTCCTCAGTCTCTCACTGTCTTCTCAGTCGTGTGAGACTTGAGGCACCGTCTTCTCTCCATGGGAGGGGCGGAGGTTCCCACTCACAGTCACTCTCCTGGAGTGAGAATAAGATCAGAAGGTCCTCATAGAAGACACTTGCTGGGACATGGGAATCTGTCCCTCAGAATTCTCTAAGATGTGAGGGCTCTGGCTGCAGGTGTAGACTTCTCTGGAGGGAGGGAGGTAGGAGTGGTTGAGAACCTGGAACTCTGTCATTCCTTGTCCCAACTCATGAAGACTGTGCCAGCTTATAACATGCCTCCTGGGGGCTGGGAGACAGTACTGTCTGGACTGGGCTCAGGTGAGGTGAGTTGGGGAGTTGAGTGGAGCCTGGAGGTCAAAGCTGGGCATCAGGGCTGTTGTCTTCCTGGTCACTTGGGGTGTCTGTTTGGATCCGAGTCCAGTTGTGCTGGGGGGAAGCTGAAAAGCCTGGACAGCCTCCAGACGAGGTCACTGAGAACTCAGCTGGGGTTTAAAAATGCTGAATCTTATTTTGGGGGGGGGGGTTCTGGCCAGTCTAGACTGGGACCTGGGAAGACCTCCTGCCCCCAGCCTAGATGCTGAACTTAGAGTTCGTGCCACATTTTTGTGTGGCAGTCTGTGAGCTAGGTTTTGAGTCCACATAAGGACATTGGACTTGTGCCTGGGGGTTACAGACACGACCCAGGGCAAGTGTCTTCCTGGTAGACTGGGGAACAAAGTGGGAGAACATCAGGCCTGCTGGCTGTCGACTTGGCAATGAGAGGTGGGTCCTGGCAGGAGCCCTTTAGAGCTTGGTGGGATGAGTCAGTGAAGGTCACCTCATGTCTTTGGGCTGGTCCACAAGTACTCAGTTCAGGTGCTTTCTTGAGAAACGGTGTAGTGTACAAGGACCTCATATCGAGTGTCTTGACAGGTGGCTGACCTGTGAGAACAGGGCGCAGGACAGATCTCTTTTGGGTTGTTTGGAGAGGCACTGACCTGGTGGGATGCTGGGGGAGAAGAAACCTCATGTTAGACACCTCGGGAGTCAGAATTGTCTAACTGTATGAAGTGAAGGATGGACATATTCCACCAGATCATAGAAAACATGAAAATAATAAGCAACTTAGGACAAATGGGAAATGGCAGAATAATAGATATGGGAAAAATAAGTATACATTAGGATTTTCTCTACATCAGGAGGAAAAAGGCACAACCAAATTTAAACACACAAAACATGCAGAATCAAATTTCACAGAAAAGACATACAAATAATCATTGTTCATTTGCAGAGATGCCCACTTCAGAGGTGATCAGGGGAAAAAATTACAAGACCAATCTGACTTTTTGCCTCTCAGATGACAATGAAATGTTTCCTTGCATAGTCTGTTTGAGATCAAGGGTAGAAACCATTACCCTATGCAGTGTGGAGAGGGTAATGGCAAGTGTTCTTTTGAAGAGCAATGTGGGAGTATTCACAAAAGTTTTAAAGGATGCCTTCTCTTGATACTGGATTGTAGAAGGCATCTGATAAAACCCTTCACACGTGAACAAAAGTGCCTCCACTTGCTGATCTACTTGCAGAAAAGAGCAAAAAAAAAAAAAAATCAGAGGAACTGGAATATGAAAATTCCACAATTAAAACAGGACTCATATAGGCCACCTTGGGTTTTGACTGCACACCTGAGAGGCATAGACATGAAGTAAATTAGGGACAGGGAAGGTGGACGGAGCTGGGAGGCAGGGGCAAGCCTCACCCTCAGAGAGGGACAGGATTTCTGTGGATTCTCTCCAGGGACTCAGCTTCTTCTCTTGGGGTCTCAGGAAATTTCTGTGGTAGAACTTTCTTCTGCTGCTCTTCGTGCATGCAGAACAAAACACATCAGCTGTCTGGATGTCCCTGACCTTCCTGTCTACACCAGTGAGGGGACCAAGAACAGTCCTGGAGCCCACTCCCAGCCCTTGCTGTGGGGTGAGGGAGGCGGTGCAGCCCCTGGGAACCGTGCAAAGGCAACTCCTTCTGTTACCTCAGAGGCAGCCCCCTCTTCCAGGAAGCGCCCATTGCCTACCGTGGTTTCAGCATGAAGTGCTCTCCTTTAGATTCTGCTGCTTCTCCGTCAGCCATAAGCCACATCCCAAGATACGCCCTGGCCCTTCCCCCTCCGCGATTCTCAGGGCTAGAGTGAGCTCTGAGGGCTAGCCCCTGGAAGGCACGGAGCTCTGTCTGCTTCTCTTGAGTCTTCCTGTCTGCGCCTGAGGTGGCTGTGCAGGAAGAGTAGAGGGGGAGACACAATCTCCTGGGGTTCCGTTGCCCGAGCATCGTTCAGAGCTTGTGATTCCTCACCTCTGTCTTGGTTCCATCTCTCTGTCAGGCTGGTTCAAGGACCCTGGAGTCTCCAGGTCCTGGTGCTCATGGGTTCCTGGTTCTCCTTCTTATTGGAGCCTAAAGGCTGCAGCACAAGGGCCCCACTCCAGCACTTCACGGGGCACCCCCTGCTGCTGGCCATGTGCCCAAAGGCCCCGCAGTTCCTGCGCTTCACCTGTGGGTGGAGAAGGAGGGTGGTCAGTGAGTCAGCAGAAATCACAGCTTTCAAAGGTTGATATAAGGAGAGAGATTTGGAGTAGGATATCAGTGTGGGAGGAAGACCTGTGGCCCATCGGGTGCCAGAACACTCAAGATATTATGGTCCTGCTCAGGGCCCAATTTAGAAAGGGATCTGAGAGGAAGGAATTTAGTGTCTAAAGGTGACAATTCTGAACTGGATTTGAGTATTGGACAAACACCGAACTGGATACGACACAAGTAGGGAATAGGGTTGCTCCTCAGAGGATCTGAATGGGCCAATCAGCTAAACGAGGACTTCACGAACCAGGCCAGCCTTGGATAAGTAAGAAGTCCTGAGTTACAGACACAGCACTTTCCATGTGCAAACCCACTCTCTGGGGTCCAAGAAATCTCCTGGTTCTTGAAACATTGAAGCCTCCGCTTACCGTGGTGTCCTCCTCTTCTGGTAAGGGAGTCCTCCACTCCACTGGTCCCTTCTGTAGCTTCTTCAGGTTCTGGGCTGGAGGGGGTGTTTGGGGCTGATGGTGGACGTAATGACCTGCCATCTGCCTCACATCCTTGGGCTTCTGGTCTTTCTCCTCTAGAAACTGATTGTTCAGCTTCCTAGTCACAAGAAAAGAACAGAAACAATATTTATGAAGACACAGAGACGGAAGTCCCGGGTACCACTACCTCTCTGTTTAGATGGGGGCTCCCTATTTGTCACACCCACGATGATGTGGTCTTCTCATGAACTGATGTGCACTCTATGTCATTGTGTGATCTTTTCCCATCATTACTTACTCCCGGAACAGGACACTGCTTAAGAAAAGACCATTTAGTATATAAATGGGGAAATTAGATTGGCAACATTGAATGCCTGATTCTGGAATCTTTGCCATAGAGCTACTTGAACAGTGCCTCCCTGAGAATGTCAAGGTAACTTAGGCCTGTGTTTTGGCTTTTTGTGAAGCCACTCCCTCCAAATTAAACTATCTACCGATATTTATCAAAGCCAATGGACAGGCAATAGCTATTCATTTTTTTCCCCATATGTTATCAGAAAACTCACAATTTTCACAGAACACACCTTGCTGAGAAAATCCACCAGTTTCTTTGCCAAAGCTTTGCAAATATTTGATATGAAGCCAATGAGCGCCTGTGAAAGAAATACATGACCCCAAAGCCTCATGCCGTATTTCAACAGTGGCATGCACAAAGCCACACAGGGACGAGCAATCTGAAGATACTTGTGCAAGCTCACACATATATGCAAATTCACACCAGGTAACTCCCAAATAAAAGCCCATGTACGGTGAGGGACACCCAAGTCAGAAGCCTCTAGGCAGCTCCAGGCAGAAATCTACGGTCCCCACCTGTGCCTTCTAGGGAATCCCTCCGGGCCATGCCCGCATTACTCCCTGTCGTTTGTCCTACCTCTCTTCCGGGTTTCTATGGCTCTGTGAAGCTGTGTGAGGCTGGTCCACTGAAGGCGGGCATTTCTTATTCAAGACACAGCAGGCACTTGGATCCTCTCCTGGTATCGGAGGAAACCGGAGCAGAACCTCCACAGTGGCAACTACAACCCATTTCTCTGTCATCATGTCAACCTGAGAGAAAGAAAAGAGAGTCAAGATGCAATCAGAGTTCTGCACACAGGAAGAAGCTTTGGGATAATAGAAGATAAACTCTCAATTTCCTGAGTTCTCTAATGTCATGCTAATCAGAGTGTAAAGGTTCTTTTCTCCAATCCCACAATGAGTTTGCTGATGACCTCCAAGTGCAAAAGGGCTGAGATGTAAGTATTTAGGGAAGGCTGGTGGTCCCCTGGTCAGAACTGAGGCCACATCAGTTGCAAATGCCCCCGCCCATCTGATCACTGCATGTCCATTTAGTTGGTCAGTGCCCATCTATCCATGTTGTTAATCACTGAATTTGACCCTTGGTCATGGGAGAAGAACCTGCCAGAGAAGTGACACTAGGCTTGGAGTCCACTTCATTCCTCCA